AACGAAACACTTGCAGGAACACACTGGCTGGGTTTAGATTCACATTAGAAAATCCTCAAGCCATGTCTGAATCCAGTGATTTGAATCTGACCCCCAACTCCAAAATCAAAGTGCTTCAGGGCTGAGGTACCAATTTTCACTGACTTCTCATTAATACATTTCTTCTGCTCAAACATGTGACTATGCTTTGAGCACCGTTTCTTCTTATTTGAACTTTCTGTACCAAATGGGTGCAGTTTCCTTTTAAGTTAAGCAAGATAAGACAAGAGAAATGGATCACATCTATTATTACAACAATATAGATCCTCTTTTATCTCCCAGGGGCTGAGAGCTAACTAACACCTCATGTGCTGGCAAGCAGAATTTGTTGCAAGCAGAACAAAACCAGTTACAACAGCCCACAAGGAAAGGAAAACAAAGGCCACTGAAGGTTAGGAGTCACAAGGGTCAGGAAGAGACACAGCAAGACTTGAGGGGAGGGTTTCCAACTCCTCCTTTGATGTTTTAATTAGGACTTCTTGAAGTACTGTAACTGCCAACAGAACATTTTAAGACAGCTCCGCTGTTTGATTTTCCCAACCAGTTGTTTTATTTTTGCTACATTTCATGTCAAACAAAATCCAAAGCACAATAATTTAGTGCATAAGGAGATGATCTCACAATAAAAAACAGGATTGGAGCCTCCAGCGTCACATCTTGTGGCTGTTCGTGTCATCCTTTTTGCTTAAGAAAAAAAGAAACCCCATCCCCGCTCAGCCCTCCTGTGTCACATAGGAAAGAAGAGATCTGTTGGTACTTGTGTTTCTCTCAAGCAAGCCTTCCTTCTTCACACTTAACTGGGTATTTTAGCAGCTTGCTGTCTTCATTCCTGGATGGATGGTGCTCTCACACTTATTATTCTTCCTGTCTACTTGATGAACTGCCTGAGTGTGATAAGCAAAATATCACAACTGTTTAGCTCCCCATGGGCTGCAGGCAGAAATGGAAGGGGTACTGTTGGGACAAATCCCAAGGAGGTCTTTACTCAGGTTTTAATCAGATGTTTGTCAAGTAAATTCCCAGAGTGGAGCAAAAGCCAAGGAAATGCTCAGGATTTAGCCCCATGGACCTGTTGCTCTTCAACTTACTTTTCCTCTCTTCTACAGTTAACCACAGACAGAACTGAGGAAAAAAATATTATTAGCATTTGTGAACTTAGGAAAGGGGGAATCACTTTGCGCTGCTCTGTGAGAATCTGCATGACGAGGTGGCATATGGCTTCTTTAGATTCAGATGCATGTTGGTTTGAGGAAGGGCTGACTTTAGGGGCTCCACGGAACCAGCGGGTATGGAGGATCTACCACAACACAGAGTTGCCCCTAATTATCATTGTGGGAAGCCTATCTTGAAATTCCAAAGATATGTTGTTTCCATAGGACTCACTGCTGCACTGTGCAAGTCAACTTTCCTGAACTATTGAAGAGTCCTGGATGTATTTTAGGTCTCATGACAACGAGATATTGTGGCATATAATATTAGCATGTGTTGATCAGTGGTTTTGAAAGTATTTTGTGAAACCCTGGGATTCTGTGATAGATCATCTGGAGTCCTGCAAAGAGACTGGAGGCAATGGCAGAGCAGTCTGGGAGGTGTGGGATGCCACTGCCAGGCTGGGTCACCTGGCTCCACGTCAGTCTTTAAAATAGGTGTCAGGCTTCTCTGGCAGAAGAGCTTATATAAAAGGGTTCTGTGACTTCAGGAAGCTCAAGATCATGATAAGACAATACAGATGTTCCAGGGAAGAGTGGTAAATCCCCAAGACTGTTCTCAGAGGGGGAAGAAGCTGTCTGTGCTTCTAGTAATTAGGAGACTATATGAGCCTTGCTGCTGTCCTATTCATTGACTCTGTCCTCTTCTTTCCCTTGCTTGTTCATCATAAGATCATAGGAAAATAGGGCTGAAAGGGACCTCAGGAGGTCATCTAGTTCAGCCCCTTGCTCAAAGCAGGATCAGCCCTGACTAAACCATCCTAGCCATGTGTCTATCCAACCTGCTCCTGAAAACTTCCAAGGATGCCGATTCCACAACTTCTCTAGATGGCCTTTTCCAGCGCTTGGCCACCCTCATTGTCAGAAAGTTCTTCCTGTAGTTCTTTCTTGATCCACAAAGCAGAATTACTCACGCAATGGCATGGTATAAGCAATGATGTGCAGTCGCTAGATGTGAGGGAACTGTTTTTGAGGCCACGTGAAAAATGATCAAATGTAACCAAGAAGGAAGAGATGAATAGGAGCTCCAGTTCAGACTCTAAGCGATAGGGCTGTGCGAAACAGCAATGTTTAGTTCCGACTTCTGTTTCAAAGGGACAGTGTTTTGCTTTGAGTTTCGTTTAGTTTCAAAACTGCTGTTTCGTTTCGTTTCGTCGAAACTGTTTTGCTGTTTTGATGCTGTTTCGATGTTTCGCCCATAGGCTATAATGGGGAACCACAAAACTGCCTATAACTTCGTTAGTTCTTGCCTGATTTGGATGAAACTTGTAGGCATGCTAACCCCTTCTGAGGCCAAGTTTCAAGGAGACAGGTGTCATGGTTTCTGGGAAACTGCACCTCAGGCTGCTGACAAGCAAAACTCGTGACATGGGTGACAGAAAGCAGGCCAGTTCAAACAATGCTGCCTTTTATACAGTTTTTCCATCCCCCGCCAGAGCACTGGGATTGGAAGGGACCTCAGAAAAGGATGACAGTCACTGGCCAGCTACACAGTCGATATGAGAGCAGTCCTTCCCCACTCTTCCCCCTCCCTCTCCTTACTTTCTGTTTCCCTGCAGGCAAGCCCAGCTTGAGTTACGAAACACGAACATTTCAAAACTTTCGAAAAGTTTCGACTGCCCTCGTTTTGTTTCAAGGCTGTTTCGAAGCTGTTCATTTTGATTTTGCTGTTTTGAGCTTGAAACGAGTCAAAATAGCATCGAAATGAAACAGCCACTGAAATTTCGCACAGCCCTACTAAGCAATTCAACCTGGCACCAGATCACCCAGTCTCACTGAGAACAGTGCTGGGTGTTTACTGTTTGGTGTTGTGAAAGTTTCTTCTTCTGTTGGCTGTGAAATGTCTGTGCTTGGGAATCTTTGCAACTCAGGAAAAACTGTCTAGAGTTTCATCAACTGTAGAAGGGAGACAGCAAAGAACATCTGTGCCCTCTTTTCAAAGTACGAAAAGTTTAGGTTAAGGTCACTTGCTGCGAGAAAGTAACTTTAAAATGAAAAGCAAAAGTGAGGGAAATGAAAGGCACTTTTCTTTTATAGGAAAGAGGTTAGCTTTCAGTAGCAAAACTGCTTGAAAGTACAGGACTTGTATTAGCAAAGAAAGGGTTTTTTTTTTCCCCATTCCCTTTTTACAAGAAGTTTAATGCAGCATTGCTGGCTGACAGAAGCAAAATTCTCCCTATGTGGTGGCTATTTTGTTAAGTTTTGTTAGTCCTGCTAAAAAGCATCTTGTCTTAAGACTGGCTCTGATTTAGTAGCATTGTTCTCTTCTGACTGCTCATAGCAGATTTTTCAACTCTTCAAAATAGCCCAAGTGTATTTAAGGCACTGGAGGTTTCTTCTACCTTTGTTTCCATCCTGAATCACACAAAGCAGGGGTGTTCAGACTTTGCACTCTTTGAAACTACATTGTTGGAGAGTGTCCAGGAGCAGAGTGCCTTACAGAAGACAGTAGATCCCACAATGCAATGCTGCCGAACCACTTTAATCAAAGTTAAGTGTTGCATGCTGGGACCTTTTGTCTCCATGTTGCACCTCAACATTGAAGAGAAGAGGGAATAATGATCAGTATAGAATGCCATGTGCTTTATTCTGTTTATGGACTGCACATTAGTCAACCTACCTTAATAATGACAACAGAATGATGATAACCCCACAAAAAGGAACTTTTAACAGACACTTCACACACAAACTGGACTCATTCATTAATTGTGAAAACTCCTTTGACCCTGTTGGCTTAGCCTTTGGTTTTATATTGCTGCCACTTTTTTTTTCAGCTCGACACGAAGTTATCACCAAAGAGATCCTAGAGCTGGATACATGGGAAAACCAGTGGAATGTGGTGGCCGTCAATGTCCTCATGCATGACAACTATGACGTCTGCCTTGTCGCCAGATTGAACCCACGAGATCTGATCCCCCCGCCTTCTGATCTAGTGGAGCCGTAGAAATGCAGTTGTTTCTAGTGGCTCCAGAGTCTGCTGCAGCTGATGAACTCAGAATAAAGAGAGGGAGGCAGAGCGACATTGGAACTGGTCTGAAGTGACAGCTGGGTTTTACAGAGATGGCTCTGTAACCATGTGCATAGGCACAGCCATGCTTTCGAATGGTGCTTCCTACGGGCAGATCTAGAATTTTGAAGAGGGGGGTGCAGATGTTGAGATGCATTCATAATGTCTAAAACAACACATTTTTCTCCAGTTAAAAAGAAACTAGAAGCTTTACTAATATGCTAGGGGCCTAGGGCTGCAAAAATAAGTATAACTTCATTGGCATGAGTTAAAACCAATCTGCAAGGCTATGAAATAGGAGCTTCATTACCAGGAGCAGCTCGCAGAATTGCAAAACAAAGGCTTGCTTGATTGTGGACTATCAAGACCATTAAAAAGGAGGGATGGTCATTAACAGCTGTGGAATGAAGAGTTTAGAAGAGATCAGGTAGCTTATAATGAGTCATGAAGTCAGCACTGCCTGATTAGAAATGCTGCTGCTACTGCCAGACTGTTGTTTTTAAACTTTAAGTGGAACAGGAATCAGAGAAGGGTGCAAGTGCCAGTGTACGCCCCCCGCCCCTCCAAAATCTGCCCCTGGTGCTTCCCACCAGCTGCTACATGCCCCAGTACTAGTATATCAGACTACTGAATGACACTATAGGTTCCCTAGTCTGTTCAGCCTCTGAGCCTGGCCCAGGCACTCTGTAATGCACTCCTCTATCCATCTGCACAAGCTTTCGCTTAGACTGCATTGTGGATTGCTGTGAGCTGTAGTCTCCTAGTTGCAACCCAAGGCCTATTCCAGGGTAGAGCTGCATAGCTGAATTGCAATCAGCAGCAGGTCCAGAGAAAGGCTGAAGGTGCAAACAAAGTGTCAGGAGAAGATTTTGCCTTGGCTGTACCCCATGCAGTGTTCAGTGGGGCTAGCATGGATGGTAAGGGTGTCTGCTTTTGGCCTCACACAGGTATAGCTTGGACAGATAGCAGCAAGCCCTGTGCTCCTACATATAAGCAGGGACTGGAGAAGAGAATAGGCCACAAAACCTTTCACACTGTCTAAGGGCCAGGCATAGACTAGCTGAGGAGCAGGCTACAGCAAACTGTAACTGTAGCTTAAAGACCCCTTAAGGCATGCTCAGGGGCCGGTACTGAGAGGAGAAAAGATTGTGTCTCTTTGCAGTGGTTGACCCTCCTGCACCAGAGTCAGGGAGAAGTCTGACTTCTCCAAGGATCTGGGCTGCTGCAAGAACCTGCTGTGGAGCCAGAGCCTTACAGCTCTAACATGGCTGTTTGAAGCCCTTCTTTTCTCTTTAATTTAATGTTTGAGAGAAGGACAGGGAAAGGAATTAAACAAAAAGTAAAAATAGAACTAAGCCAGTTTTCTTAGCAGACCAGATTTGGTGCCATACACAGACCAAGCCGTTGCCATTTAAGTGAGGCTGTTTTTTAAATAGAAGCGTGCGTGTGATCAGAGGTAAACTGTGCTGAGAGAGGGGTGCGACTGTTTCCATAGGGAAAAGGAGTAGTTCAGACAGAATGATTCCTTTAAGCTTCCTCAAGCAGCATTAAGTAGAGCAGGTTAGATGACAGCAGCCAGGAGATGCTCTGAAGTCTCACCCAGTAACAGAGCTCCAGTTTGAATAAATAATGTCCCTTTATATGTTCTCTTGTGTCTGCCCTTTGTTTCTGAATGTCATTTCCTAGGCTGTTCAGGCAAGAGGGCTGGAAGGTTGAGCAGCTCTCCTGGGCCAAAGCTGCAATTGAGAGGATGCTACTCTAAAGAGACAGTGAGATCATCAATGGAGAACGTATAAATATATTATAAAGCACTGAAGCAGTCCACAGTTCATTTCCAGCTAGAGGTTGCCTCTGAGAGTCACAGGGGCAACCGCAAACCTGGATAGAAGTGATCAGCAAAGAAAGAGTGAGTCCCCTAAGTAGTGTGAGCACGGTCATTTGCAGGGCAAGATTTTCAGGCTGGAGTGGTTTCTCTCTGTGCTCTTCTTGAATCATATATTTGGTAGCAAATATTTCAGCAGTTGATTTCTCTCCTGTGGTCATTGCAGGGGAAGTTAGAAAAGATGACCCAGAAGCCCTTTTTCTAGGACTAAATTATCAGATTCATCAATTATTCCCTGGACTGCCCTGTGGGGCTGTCAACCTGTCTGTAACAACACTCAGTAGGAAGGACACCAAAGTTTTCTCATTGTGGGCGTGCTTCATGCATGTTTTACAACGCTGTAATTTAGAGCACTTTTTATAGCACTATAAAGTGACAGTTCTCTTAAACATGACAGAAGTGCAGTGTTTGGGGAAGGAGAGTGCCTCTGAGCCTCCCTGCATTTTCCAGGCTAGGAGGCAGGGGGTCCTAGGCAGCCTCCTGTTGTTTCTCCACTGGTGAGAAATTTGACCAACATACAGAAGTTATTTAAAGCACTGTAGGTTGCTGAAGTGCTGTAAAATACAGTGCTTCAAATTTGATACCTCATTTAATAAGGGTTAATTTAAAACTCTGTGCCCATTTTTAAAGTGCTATAAAGTAGAGTTGTGCAAAAGGGCACCGTTCCATTTCGCCCTCAGTTTCGACGGGTCAACGGAACAGCCTTCCAATTCGAATTTCATTTCAAGTTGAAACAGCTGTTCCGTTCCATTCCATTGAAACAGAACGGCTGTTTTGACGCTGTTTCGACGTTTCACTGGGGGATGGGAAGTCAGTCCAGTTGGGCTGCTTCCCCATCCCTGGTGCTAGATTCCCCCCCCAGGGCCGGCGAGGCAGCCCAGGTGGGCTGCTTCTCCATCCCTGGCACTAGATTGTGCGGGGGATGGGAGGCAGCCCAGCTGGGTTGCTTCCACATACCCCGTGCTAGATCGCACCAGGCACGGCAAGGCAGCCCAGCTGGGCTGCTGGGGCTGCCTTCCACCCACAGTGCGATCTAGCGCTGGAGATGGGGATCTAGCGTGGGGGATGGGAAGTCAACATAGCTGGACTGACTTCCTATCCCCAGCCTATGATCGAAACATTTCGAAAGTCGAAATGTTTCGACTAGCCTCATTTTGTATTGAGGTTATTTCAACGGCCTTTGTTTCATTCCGATTTTCCTGTTTTGACCTTGAAATTGGTCAAAACTGTCAAAACGAAATGGCCAGCGAAATTTTGCACAGCCCTACTATAAAGCCGTGCACTTCTGTTAAGTCACGGCAAAGGGCTTTAAATGGCGAAAAAAGCAACTTCTGTACACACCGTATACGCCATGCTGTATGGAGGGTGACCCGACCAATTTGTTTTGCTTTGTTTATAGTAGGAAAAAAATCTAGGAAAGAAGAAGTGAGGCTGTGATCCTTATGACTCAGCTTCCGTCTCCCTGCATGTTCTGTAGGCAGAGTGCCTTTGACAGTCTAAACACTCGCAGTTGTGTATGCATCATCTCCATATTGTTAAATCACCCTGATTTCTTTCCCGTGTTGACATTTAGCTCATTAAAACTTCAGGGTAGTGTTGTAGCTAAGATGAGCCCCAGTGGTAGTAAAAAAAGTAGCTGGTTCTTAGGATCACACCTGGATGCTCAGGCTTTTAAATACCTTTTCAGGAATGAGGTGACAGTAGAGTTTTGTGAGTTATAAAAAAAGAAATAGCAGAGAGCACCCACAGTTTCTCATGTTAAAGTAAAGAACCTTTAATTGCTTAAGCCTTGCTGTCCCTGCAGAACAAGTGTGTCTGCTGTGTTCAGGCATGAGAATTGTTTTTACACAGCTTTAAAGTTCACAGGAATTGATACTCCTGAGTCACAATTCACTCAGGTGGATAGTTCTTCAAGAGTTGGTATGAACAGGTCCTGCAGGTTACTTCGATCACCGCTTCCGCATCTGCCGATTTTGTTTCTTTCATTTTATTTATTAACAGCTGAGAAAAATAAAAAGAAAGGAACAATCCAAATGTTTCTTATTATTTTTATTTATGTGTTTGTTTTTCTGAGCACTCCTGGTATGGCTTTTAATTTTCCTCACTCGACCTATTGGAGCGCTGAAATACATGCCATTAGAGGGACCCCAATCTGTCTCAGGGAACTGCTGCAAATAATGGCAGCAGCCTAAACACAGCTAGAGCCCCTCCATCAAGCTTGTATTCCAGTGATGAATTGACACTTCCTCCCCACTCTTTACATGTTGTTTCTGTCACGGATATCTTAAGAGCTAGACAATGACAATGCGTCCATCACGGTCTCTCTTGATAACTGGCGGAGATAAGAACTGATAAATTAACTGCCCTAAATTGTATTCAGCTGCCAGAACTGGAGTTCTGGGGCTGCTGTCATTTTGTGTGGCCTTCCCTCATCAGAGGTCCCTCAGGAGACACCAGAGCTCAGTCAACCCAAGCATGTATTCAGTACTGCTCAGCAGTCTCACTACAAAATCCTAGCTAGTAGCAAGACTTTTCATCTCTCTCCTTCTCTGTTACACCCAATTCCCTGAATTCATTTGCAACAGGAAGTTTTTTTAAGGTGGTTATTCTCCCAAAATACATATATATAGAAGGGGTCCATTGGCAATGCATAGGGAGTGCAAGTAGGTGCACATGCACCCCCTGAGAAAAGGCACTGTCAACACTGCCAGTGGCGCCTGGGGGCAGTCGCCGCTCGCCATAGCCCCCCCTCGCCACCACAACCATGAGCAGCATCTGCAGGTGGTCTGCAATCGCCGCTGACCACTGCTGATGCTGCTGGTGGTGTCTACGGATGGTCACTGACCGCTGGTTAGCGCTCGCCACCCCCCCGGGCTGCTGCTGCAGCACCATGGCTGCCTGCAGGAGCTCCCTGCTTGCCACCATCATGCTCCCACCACCGATAGCGCTGCCACCACCGCCTGCGGGAGCTTGCTGTACCCCACCAGCCTCCAGGGGCTCGCGGCGTTCATGTTGATACCTGATTTTTCTGACATCACTCAGCCGTTTCATGGTGCCAAGCTGGGACTTCATCTCAAGGTGGAATGTCCTTACGATTCTGGAAATTCTGTGATGACTCCAAAAATTCTGACAACAACAATTCTACTAAATTTTCTAATTCAACAGTTTGTAATGGAAATGTGACAGGCGGAACAAGAAGCAGAAAGTGAGAAGTATATATCTGAGCCACAGATCGCCACAAATTTCCAGGGATAAAGGTTGTAGAAAGAAGCATACTTCAACATCCTGCTTGCCATCAGACACCTTTGAGGTAAATAAACTGCTCCAACTTTTATCCGAGCCTAATTTACATAAACTGAACTTTTCCAGCCAAGAGAACTTATAGAGCCCTCCAGCTCTTCTGTACAATATGAAGTGTCATTTCTACCTGGGAGAAATGTTACAGTCTTTGCATTCTCCTTTGCCTGAGGAAGGGCACATGAGCCTAAAAGCTTGCAAATAAAGAACATTTTTTGCAACTATCTACTTGGTCTAATAAAAGATATTGCCTCTGTCACATCAACCTCAAATTTCCACAGACTTTGCAAACCTGAGTGATACATTCACGAGTTTGTATGTAACGTCACCCTGCTGGAAACATTCTCCCCATTCTTGATTTCCTGTTTTAAATCCTGATACCAAAAATGATAGCACATATATTCACTGCTTGTGAGTTTCACTAAAATGGTAGTTGCTTGCTTTAGCCACTGCCTGTCTAAACAGTTGTGAACTCAGTTTTCAATTAGGTCCATGCACACATCATCTACGACAGTGTTTCCCAACCTTTTCCAGCCCAAGGCACACTTACATTAGTAAAAGTTTTCTGCAGCATACCTGTAAAGGCATTCCCCATCCTCATACCTGTTGTAGCTCATTGCCATGGCACAATTCCATGGCACATCTGTTAATTTCTGACGGCACACTTTTGTGCCACAGCACACTGGTTGGGAAACACTGATCTATGATTCTAGAGTGCAAACAAGGAAGCACTGGCAAACTATAACACTGTAAAAATGACAAGAAGTTGTTATGCAAAAGCAGGCATTAATTTCAGCATCACTGTTTGCCAAAACAATAAAAACAGTAACTGAAGGTGTTGCATGCAAAGCATGGGTGGACCTAGAATTTTGAAACGAGGGGTGCAGATGGTGAGGTGCATCATGCCATATACTACAACACATATTCTCCTAGCCTGCTCTATTACATGCAGGAGCTGAGTTGTTGTGAAATGACACTCATCTTTCACACATGTAGAAGGATTGAGCCCTGGCTTTTTACATTTATACCCTTTCTCATCTGAACAATTTGAAATGTGTAACAAGTCCTTCCACCTTCTTATGTGCCATTTTAAGCGTGTGTTAAAATTATTTCTTTAAACAAGGCATTTAAATCAATGTTAAAAACATATAAAGTTCTACATCTTTATTGCTTTCCTGCTAATCTCTTAAAGCAAGGGTATTCTTTTCAGCAGTTGTTTCTCCTGTAGTTGACTTCTTCTTTCTTTTCCTTATTAGGACTCTCCATTTTGGTCTCCTATGGCACGTGAAGGCCTTTCAGCAGTTTGATTCATGAATCATGATGCTTTGAACTTGTTGGTCAGAATTCCAGCTACTTTTTTTTTGCCGGCGTCTGGAGCTAGGAATTTTCAAGCAGCCATAACAGATCATCTATCAGCAGCTTCAAAAAGAAGCCATTTTACCACCGGTTATGCTCAGCTGGAGCTAGCACATAAGCAATTTACTACTATTTAATACTTTGAGGTTGAAAGCAAAGGATGTATTTTTAAAAAATGGCTGAAATATATGCAGAATGTACTCCTAAGTGCACCTCCCTTATTTTCCTTGGCAAGCATCTCGTCTCTGCGTTCTGCAGCATTCCCTCTGGCTGTTTGATGGAATGATTTAATAACACCCTGTGATTTCAACCACAAGGTACTCTGGAGTAAGGGTCACAAATTTATGTTGCACAGTGCAAAAGTGCAGCAGAACAAAAGGGCTGTATTTCCATATAGGCCGACCTGCCTTGCTAGAGCAAATGGTATTGAGCTCTAGCAATACCATAAGGCTAATCTGTGTGAGATCTAATAAGGCTATCTGTGTGAGAAAGATACCATATACATATATGAGGAGTTTCTTATTTCCAGCTTTGGTTGGAAGTTCTGTGCTGTGAGCAATGGGATCCTTCTTACCTAGTACCTGGTGATTCTGCCAAGGTGTTAGTTCTGCAGGACGATTAAGCGTGAGCCTGCCTTTAAGCATATTTGTGTCATAGTTTCATAGTTTGTAGGGTCGGAAGGGACCTTGACAGATCATCAAGTCCGACCCCCT